TTACTATAGTATTAGAATCAATACCCTTGTTAAACCCAGTGTGAATGCTTCTAATCTCAGTATACAGCTTCTTTTTTTCCTCATTTAGAAAGTATTATTTAGATATCAAAAGCTTGTGGTTCAACGTAACTGAATTTTAAGACCCACAAGCCTCTGCTTTAAACCTTCCTAATCTTCTTGCTCTCGAGCTGCTTCCTTGAGAATATGGTTCCTTTTACCCTCCTACTTCCCACTGTGCCCAGGAGTAGATCTGTCATAACAAAAATGCAAACACTGGAGAAGCCTCCTACAACATAAACAGCACAGAACCAGATTTTTCTGGACATTTCTGAAGATAAATTTATCCCTTACAAACACCGTTATTTTCTCTTCTTGTCAACCCAGATGAAATTTCAAGCATTACAGGTGATGAAACAGACCCTTAAATATATAAAATGCACTTTTTCTCCTGGGCATATAGATCTCTGTATTCTAACCATTCAGTTTGTTAATCTCTAATATTATTAGAATTGGGATTTTCCAAGTCACTTAGCATACCTGAAAGCATACATTTGAATAAATATATATGAGAATTTCAAAGATCTATATAGCCAAGCCTGGCCTCTAGAAATCCCTGCAACTCAAACATTGAAAAAATACTATTTTAACAGAAAAAACACCCCGCACTGCCCCCCACTCACCCACTTCCCCCAAACCAGCAGCTAGCAGAATACTATGGAGGAAGAAGTACAGTAATCAAATTGTTAGGAAAGGAAGAATTCAGAAAATAGAAAGAGAAGTAGATTTCAACTAACCTTGTTCACGAAAGAGAAAATGGCAAGTAGTGGTAGGAAGCACCTTGAGTAGAGCTAGCTTTTATACTGAGTCTTGGATGGCCTGGGGACTGCAGACATCCTTTGTACATGAAATTATTTACCAACAAGTATGCCCTGAATGCAAAATGCTTCCAACCGATTAAATGCCTTTTCCTTACTGTTTATTATTGTTTTCATTTCCTTATCTTCTGACATGAATATTCTGCCATACAAGTTTCTCTCATCTTATGGTATTATGGGACAAATTTATTCCAGTGCCACCTTTCAGTCACAACAGAATGTATGTGTTGTACATTCAACACACTTCAGTCATTAGGATAAAGATTAAAGAAAATTTATGGAATACATAAGTTATCATCCATTTTTTTTTCTTTTATTAAGAATATGAATGTAAGTCCTCAACAAATTCTGTGCTCTACCAATGGTTGCAAAGCTCTGACTTCAATCAAGCTTAAGAACAATCTAGACTGAACTTTTGTGTTTTCTCAAGGCCCTGCAAAAAACCCACAACCATATGCACACATGAAAAAAAATCCCACCAAATCCAATGAGAAAGAACCAGACCCCATTGTGACATTCAGACAAAAATACTGTTATATGAAACAGTATGATGAAATACAGCAGCAGATAGTGTTTCTGGTGTGAATTAGGGTAATTCACATTTTTCAGTACAGATTCAAATCTGTACAGGATTTTGCTTCTTCACCATGGACAAGACACAAAGGTTAGGAATGGTCTCATCTAATTCAGATAGTATCACACACTTTGGTGTCATAGTTTGAGGTGCAGCTATCACCTGGGGACATTTGCAGACTGGTTCTTTACTTGATTTCTCAGTTACCTGTAACTCCCCTCTGTATCTTCTCAGACAACAAATATGAAGAGCATTTCACAAGTCATCTTGAAGACATATGAATTTTAAACAATTTTGAGATATTATCCTCTTATCCTCACATAACTTTAACAGTGAAGTTATTGGGGGGTGGGGGGGGGAGGGGGTGGGGGGGAGAAGGAAACACAAGAATTAGCCATTTGCCATCATAGTTATTCCCCTTGCTACAGACTTCAGTATAGCATTGATGGTACTCCAGACTGGTGTAGATTCATTGCACAAGTGGAATACATATGCAAGATTTTACTATGTTCATTTTTCTTCACAATTTTCATTAACAGTGTGCATATTCATGGAATTATCAAACTGCTCATGATACATAATGGGATTTGATCACCTTTATAATCCACCTAATGGGATGTCTTCAAAATCTGTCAGCCTGGATCATCTTTTTCCACCCAGCTTCACAAAAGGGATCCATCTATATTTTAATGGACTCTATGAAAACCAGCTCTGAACTATTATTTAAAGAACAATTCAATGTTTTAGCAATTTTAAACTGCTCTTCATATTTCAGTAATATAATTTAAAGTGACCCACCTTTCCCTGCCTTTCCAGACCTAAACAATATCAATCCATAAATGTATATGTGGCACCTACATTTTTTAAAGTTCTTTAAGTTATCTATAGCAGCAGGTTCTTATTGGCAACTTGGAGAATGAATTTTCCTGTAAAACATGTAACAACATTCATAAATACTATTTTCAGCACTTCTGTTCTTCTTCCTTCTTTTAACACAACAGCTTCTATTTGATATAATAACTCACTTTAAAAACAAACTCATGAAAGATCACAGCAATGTTTTCAAGAAGACTTGTGAACTGTCTTCTGATGGTGGCCTGACTTCAGACTGCACTGGTTGGCTCAAAGAACTTACCCAGGAGGCTTGGAGCCTTTCTTGGAAATTTTAAGAATGACGAACAAGTTAAATGACAATTGTTCTTAACTAGGTCAGGCAGGGAATTGCACACAAAGAGCTTTAATAAATGTCTTGAATGCAATCTTAGATTGTACTTCCAAGACACCTGTAAGGTAACAAATTGCTAAGGATCTGAAAAGAATGATTTATTAGACTGGGCTTTTACTCATTTCATACTGACATTAATGGAGTAAGTATAGAAGTACCAGAAATTAATTGAACCCATAAATTGTGAAGATGAAAGAATTTTAAATGGACAGAGTACGCCTCTCATGCAGCGCCAGAAGGAACCTAGACTAGAAAACTAAAATAAATAAATAAATAAATGTGAGAACCAAGTCATGAAAAAAAAAAAAAAAAAAAAAAAAAAAAAAGATGCTTCAGTAGTCTCAAATAGTCTGAGAAATTCGTAAAAAGTCATAATCATAGTTATTGTATCCATTTCTCCAATCTCAACATATAAAGGAGACATTGGTTTTAAACAGACATTCACATTCTTCAGGATGTTTCTAATGCCACATTTACTAAAGGCTTCAACACTCTGCACAAACATTCCTTGTTGCCATATTATCTGAAGATGGTTAGTTCTAGGAGATTCTTTCTTTTTTTTTAAATCAACAAGTATTTCAAGGCAAAGACTGAAACACTTATAGAAGAGGCTAGATCTCCAATCTATATCATTTATTTCATTCAGAAGAAGAACCACAAAACACACTTTTCAGCATATGCTGTTGTCAAAGACAGGCCACTAAGCTAGGCAGTTCCTTCTTCTGAAACACATTTCTATACTCTTTATGGTATATGTCTATTTGCATCATAGAAAGACACCTACCTTCCACCAAACAGAAAGAAAGTTTTTGATGTATATCAGTGTTATCAGTGATTCCCCACAGACCTGGGTGAAAAACTAATTACCTCAATCACACCAGTTCTTTTGATAGGATACCATATATTCATGTATACATTTGTTATTTTTTTTTTTTTAAATACACTCATGGAATTGATTTTTTTCAGCAGAAGCTCTATTCAGTCTAACACCTGTTGACTTTTCATCTCTTATACTTTGCTGCCTCAAGCCACAGTCTAAAAAAGGCCATAAGCCATCTTATCTCTAAATTAAATATTCTTTTCTTAATTTTGCAACTTTGGAAAGAAAGGAAAGGAAAGGAAAGGAAAGGAAAGGAAAGGAAAGGAAAGGAAAGGAAAGGAAAGGAAAGGAAAGGAAAGGAAAGGAAAGGAAAGGAAAGGAAAGGAAAGGAAAGGAAAGGAAAGGAAAGGAAAGGAAAGGAAAGGAAAGGAAAGGAAAGGAAAGGAAAGGAAAGGAAAGGAAAGGAAAGGAAAGGAAAGGAAAGGAAAAGGACATTTGAAAAGAATACATCTGCCTTTTTTACCACCAATGATTGGATATTGGGCTAGTTCCAGCTTTGAACCTGAATGTCTGGTGACTTCAACCTGGTTCCTTCACTGCTTTTATTTCAGCACTTCCATTTTCAAATAGAACTTATTGTGCTCCTAAAGAGAAAGCTCAGCACAAGCTTTAGAGTCATAAGAAATTGGATGCTACTCTTTCTTACTGCTTTCCTGTTCTGTGTCATACTGGACCCCACACTGCTTTGCCACTGGAGCTAACGAGGTTGTCTTAATGTCTTAATTGTCTTAATGACACAATTAAGAGCTCAGATGCATATCTAGATGGTTTTGTATCTAGACAAAACAAGGATTTGTTAATATTTTTTGATAAAACTCAATAGCACACAAAGCACAGGGTTTCAACATTCTTTGAGAAAAGTCAGCTGAAAGCATGATTAAAATCTGTTAAGACAAACACACCATTTAACTAGTTCTTCACCCACATAATTTTTTCTGTGTGGATTAGAGTTCTTGCACAGATTAGCTAAGGAATAAGATCTACTTTGTTTAAGGCTTGAAAGAGAGAACATGGAAGTGGACCACAAAAATTTATTAATGACTAAATCATACAGAGTCTTCTTATTCTTAGGAGTTGTGAACAATCATTTCAGTCTTGAAACTGTGAGACAAGATCACAAGTTTGCCTCAAAGCCTATCATAGTTAGATCTTCAGAGTTTAGTAGCATTCATGTCAATAAAAACAAACAAACAAAAACCCAGACAAAATTCTGAGAACCTACTCTACACTTTGCAATTTTCAGAGTTTCAAAGAAAACTATGAGACAAGATGAGAAAGTTATCACTGTGAAAGGTTGCAAAAGTAACATTCCACATGGATGTGGAAAAAATTGAAAAAGCTAGCAAGAAAACCAGTTGAATGCTTCGAGAATGGAGTAAATGGTGAAAAAAACTTAGTGTTGATTTTTGCTGACTATTAAATTCTCGAATTCAGCTGTGAAGGTATGGTTTAATAAATGCATAGATTTTACCATATAATGATTTACTCCACCCAAAAGGGTGGAAGAAGAGAACAAAACACAATGAAATTCAAATTAAGATGCAGACTCAGTTTAATGAGATAGGCAAACACTCCACAATGCAAAAGCAAAGTAAATATTTATGTAAAGGAAGGAAGCCATTTAAGCCGTTAACACTGGAACACAGACAAGACACTGCTTTTCTTACTCAGACATTAAGTACCCTCAACTCATTCATAAAGAGAGGATTACATAAAGCAAAGTAAAAATGCAACAGAAGCAATCAGAAGAAGTTATTTAAAGATTAAGGTATTTGCCATGTTTCCAGACAGCACAGGTTGGCACCCTGGCTTCCCTCTCTGCTCTGCAGGAGGCCACGAGGGTGCTCAGCCCATCTGGAAACTCTGGCCAGCAGCTCCGTCCTCAGTCTGGCACCTGGCTTCGGGCTTCGTGGTCGATGTGATCACTGGACATCCTCGTGGGCTTTAGCAGGGCAGGCACCTCCTGCCACTGTAGCGGCCACCAAAGCCAGAGAGGCCAAAGCCCCCGGAGGAGATGGGCACTCCCTCCTCACTCAGGATGCTACCAACGGCAGCAGATGCTGAAGATCCCACAGCAGTGTTCTGGGGGAAGGAGCTGAGGATGGGGCCGGGCAGGGTCACCACCACGGGAGAGGGCTGGATCACCACACGGGAGTCCTGGCACTGCCGGACACAGGGCTCGTTGCAGCTGTTGGCAAGTGGGGTTGGCCCACAGGGACGGCACAGATCGTAGCACGACATGGCTGTGGGATGGAGGCGCACCTGGGAGAGACGGTAGAGAAAACACACACCACATGTCAGCAGCAGCCTGACAGTTTCCTGGACAATGGAAGACATAGTCTGAGGAGCAGGGAAATGGTATATGAGGACAGAGAGGGACTTGGGAACTTGGGTCTCCAAGGCCCCTGCAAAGACAGTCCTAGACCTCCTCCCACCTCTCCCCTCAGTGGCAAGCAGAACAGTGATGGAGGGAGCAGCGTCAAGGAGCAAGGACCACACAAAGAGCTACATGGAGGCAAAGACTCGGTCGAGGCCAGAAGGCCAAGGGGAGAAGAAGAGAATGAGAGGAGTGAGGAGAAGGCACTTGCAGCTCACCTTGTTCGCCAAGGAGGAGAAGGCAAGAGAAGTGGATGATGGAGCCTGCTGTTGGACAGGCTTTTATACCAGTCCAGACTGCCCCAGGCCCAGAGGCACCATTTGCACTTCTAATGTGTTTACCAACAGGACCTTCAAGTATGCAAAACACCACAATTAAACAAAATGGGTGTCTTATGTTCCCTGCAGTGACCCCTTTTCATTTTCCTGGTCAGGACATACCCATTCCATCACACAGGCTCCTTTCAAGTGACAGGATTACAGGCCAAAATGCTTCTGGGGAAGTGACACAAAAGCACAGGAAGAAGATGAAGGCAAAAAGAAGGAGATGGCCAAATTGTCAAGTGGTGCCAGCCTCTCACCCTCCTGCAGCTTCCTTCAGGCTTTGTCCTAAATGCATGGGTACTCATTTCCATGCAAACCCGCCCTTAAAGGTCAGACTGCCAGCCAGGCTCATCAGCAAAGAGCAGGTACAGCCTTTGCTTTACCTATCAACCTGCTCAGGCTGCCTTAGGCACCAGATTTCCAAGTATGGCTGCTCTGCCATCAAGCTTCAGCCCTTCTGTGGGATCAAGCCTTGCTCTCAGGTGACAAAAGCCTGACTGGTTTTCCTCTCCCCTCTGTCCCCAGCAACTAGAGGTCCCCTGTCACCACAGCAGGCCTCTTTCAGAAACACGGACATGACTCTCACTCTACTACTCGCTCCTGCTGCCCACTCCTGTTAAACCGGGATGTCTCCTGCAGACAAAGCCCCATACTGGACAACAAATACAGCTGCTTTCCTCCTTCCCCATCTCCACGCCTCAGATTCTGCTTTGACCCCACATACCAATGGCACAGCACACACCAGCAAACATGTGACCGTATTTCTGTGCAACACAGAACCCTGCCCAGAAACAAGGGAGGTCTGAGAATGCCGTTGAGGGCAGCCTGGGCAGCAGCAGGTATCAGCACCTCCCTGGGGACGTGTGCCAAGGAGTGACACCAAGTCATACCAGCAGCGTGTTTCTTGGGGGCATGACTGCCCAGCAAGGAATACTAGGCATACACAGCTCAGGCCCCTCAGCCAGGCCGTCTTCCCAAGGGCTGGACAAAATGCCTTCCCGATGAGGCTGGGACGACAGCAGACAAAGGCAACTGTCAAATCACTTAGGCCCGATCAAATTCCTCATTTAGGAAGATGAGGAAAGCTTTGAAGGTGCACAGTACTACCCTGATGATGACAGTAAACATCTATCCCAAAGAGTGCTGTCACGGCTCAGTACGAGCCACCTGCTGCCTACACAATGGGAGCCAGGAGCCAAGCAAGGCCACACAGCCAACAGGGCATCAGCTATACCAGCAATGGCCCTCGTTGTACAGCACCTGACCAAGGAAGATGAGGAGATGGAAGGCAGATTCAGCCAGGCGTCTAGCTCAGTGATCAGGTTCATGGTGGTGACACAGGACTGATGACAAGACAGTCCACACTTCAGGGTCAGGTCCAGTGACAGCAACCAGGGTCAACACGAGGCCCAAAGACTGCTGACCAGGCCCAGAAAAGTAACACAGACAGACCCAAGGGAAAGCTGGGAAACCACTGGGCAACTTTAGCCCTACCAAGGCCACCCAGGGGCAGGCATAAGCAAATCTGCAACAGAGCAGGCAACCCACACTGATGACCCAGATCTGAAGGGGGGGCCAAAGGCTCAGGACAAAACTTGACTATAGCACCAGGGTCAATGGGAAGAGGGTGTGGTGGGAGGCTCCAGGTGAGCCTGATGAGGGCCATTGGGCCTCTGCCGCACTCAGACAACTCGTATGCATGAGGAGGAAATCTCCTGTGCACTTGGGACATAGGACACCAGCTGCATCTACCCCAAAAGAAGAAAGGAAGGAAGCTTCAATTAATTTTCCAAGGAAAAACATGTCTCGCACCTCAGGGGCTGCCCAAAAGCTGCAATGCCTTGCAGCACCCTGCGCTCCCTGATCGCCTGCTGCAGTTGTTGCCTTCCCTCCCTGGTATCAGCTTTTCACGGCACTTTGCTCCTGCTGTCAGCTCAAGGTGGCCCAGGAATGTTGACAAGGAGCATGTTTCCTGAGAGTCTTCCTGCACAGCAAGGCTGAGGGCTTTGCCTCATACCAGTGGTTGGTCAGAGAATGCAGGCCTTTAGCTATGGTGTAAGGCATGATAGGATTTCCCCAGCACAGGGGATAGCATGAGAGGTGCCCCTCACTCTGCCTCAAGCAGGAGTGGGTGACACAGACAAAAGCATCTCCTGTGGAGAACTAGAGCATAAGGGAAGAAGGGCTATGGAGCTTGTTTTGCCTTGTTTCCCCTGTGGCAGGAGCAATCACCAGAGCGCAGTGTAGTTGGACCAAACAGCCACTCCCAAGCCATGTTGCTTCCCTCCCTGATGTTGGCTCTCTTGCATTTTGGGGCAGAAGGTCAGGAAGGCACAACAGCTTCATCCAGGAGGGTTTCTTCCTCTCCTTGCTCTCGTAGGCAAGGGTGAGACAGGGACTCGCCAAAATCCCTCACTTGAATGCTGCAGAATGGTCTGGCAAACACACAAGCAGCACCTGTGCAGCCCTGCGGGACTGGTTCAGTGCTTCAGAAACAGGACTGTAGGCACACAGATGATGTGGGGGCTAACCACAACTTTAGATTCTACATTATCCCAGTTCCCTCTAGAGAGAGTGGCTGAGAATCTCAAAAGGGAAGTATCATGAGAAGACACAGATTACAATGCAGCATAAACTTTAATGAGTCTCAAGAAGCAATCAAAGCAGCTCGTGGTCGAAGAAATCCAGTCCAGGCTGCCACAAGGACAGCTGCCAGTCAGACCCCCTTCACCACAAAGGGAAGCACGTCTTCCTCCCTCACATGGTGAGAGGAAGAACAAAGATGATGCTCTTGACTTGCTTCCAGATGAACTCATGGCACAGGACAGGATGAGACAAAAAGGACTCATGCTGAAGAGAAGAAAGCACTAGAAGAAGATGTCTGCTGGCCGTGTTTCCAGACAGTGCAGGTTGGCACCCTGGCTTCCCTCTCTGCTCTGCAGGAGGCCACGAGGGTGCTCAGGCCCTCTGGAAACTCTGGCCAGCAGCTCCGTCCTCAGTCCGGCACCGGGCTTCGGGCTTCGTGGTCGATGCTCTCACTGGACGTCCTCGTGGGCTTTAGCAGGGCAGGCACCTTCTGCCGCTGTAGCGGCCACCAAAGCCAGAGAGGCCAAAGCCCCCGGAGGAGATGGGCACTCCCTCCTCACTCAGGATGCTACCAACGGCAGCTGAGGTGGTGGATCCCACAGCGGTGTTCTGGGGGAAGGAGCTGAGGATGGGGCCGGGCAGGGTCACCACCACGGGAGAGGGCTGGATCACCACACGGGAGTCCTGGCACTGCCGGACACAGGGCTCGTTGCAGCTGTTGGCAAGTGGGGTTGGCCCACAGGGACGGCACAGATCGTAGCACGACATGGCTGCGGGATGCAGGTGCACCTAGGAGAGAGGGTAGGCAAAGCACACGCAGCATGTCAGCAGCAGCCTGACAGCCTGCTGGCCAAGACAGAAGGCATAGTCTGGGGAGCAGGGACAGGGCCCACGATGACAGAGACAAGCCCAAGCGCCTTTGCAAAGACAGTCTAAGACCTTCTACCTCTTCCCCAATCAGTGACATGCAGAACAGCAACAGAGGGAGCAGAGTCAAGGAGCAAGGCCCACACCAAACCTCCACGGAGCCAGAGCTTCGGTGGAGGCCAGAAGGCCAAGCGGAGAAGAGCAAGAGGGGGGTATGGAGAAGGCTCCTACAGCTCACCTTGTTCACCAAGGAGGAGACGGCAAGAAAAGTGGATGAGGGAGACTGCTGTTAGACAGGTTTTTATAGTCTTCAAACTGCCCCAGGCCCAGAGGCAACATCTGCACACGTAATGTTTTTACCAGCAAGCTCATCTCATATGCAAGACATTACAATTTAAGAATCTCTGGCATTTATTTGTTCCCTGCAATGCTCCCCTTTCATTTCCTTACTGCTGTCATAGCCATTCTGCCATGTGTGCTTCTTCAAGTCAGGGGATTAGAGGCTAAAATGTTTACAGGCAAAAATACACGTCAGCAGAAGGAGATGATGCAGCTGTTGATGAGGACTGTCGCAGCACTCCAGGGGATGCCTGTCTCTTATCCTCTGGTATCTTCCTTTATGGAATTTTATATTGAATTTTGCATGTTTTGTAGCACCTCCAAAAATATGACCTGTCTTACAAACGCTTTTCTGTGACAGGACAACTACATCCATTGCTTAACCTACACCCGAACTCTTTCACTGTACTTTTACTTGCTGGAATTGAGTTAATTTTCTTCAATTCAGTTCCTATCTTTCTGTTATTGAGACTTGTAGCCAAAGTTATGTTCGTAACACAAAGACATTTTAGCTGTTGCTGAGAAGTGCTTGCACAATGTAAAGGCTTTCTCTGCTTTTCACTCCTACACAATTCCCCACACTTGTGCCCTGGCAAAGTACGCTGGGTCTGGGCATAAGTCTTGCAGAGAACACAGTAAGGATGGTTAACCCAAAATAAACAGAGATGTTCCATTAAAGGTAGCATCCTACTCAGCAAGAAAATTTGAGAGAAGCCAGGGCACAAGTATTTCCCATAGTAGTTGTTTAGGGACCAGCTGGGCATGCTGGAGGTAAGTAGCTTTACACCACTTCTTCTTCAGTTTTTCCTTTCTTCCTTACTTATTAAACTGTTATTTCTCTATGTACAAGCTTCCTTTTCCCATATTTTCCTTTCTGATTCTAAAAGCCCATTATATGGCGATGGCAGTAAGGGAACAGCTTCAAGGTCATCTAAAAGAAATACAGGGTCAACCTACCACAAAAAGTTTTGTCTGAACATGCGAGTCAGGTTGGATAAGCTGTTGGCTTTTAGATTGTCTGCAATCTCACACAGGAGAAATTCACATGTTCTTTGCCCTTCCCTCCTTTGGCTGGGCAGCCTCCTGAAGTCCCCAGTCAACAGAAGAAGGACGTTTGAGGAGAGACACCCCTTTCCAACACATGCTAAGTCT